AGCTTCCAGCAGCCTTGTCTGTAGCGTTTGCATCAGGTCATATTCTGGATCAAGTTTCCTCTGCCAACCCTACAAGTTGCAGGCAAGTACCAGTACGTGTTACGGAATCACGTCAATTACCAAAACGGGCAGTAATGACAATATGAACTAAGGTTTGTCTTCATGTTGTTAAGGCATTTCAGCAAGTCACTCCTAGGACTACTATGAAACAATTCCAAAAAGAGAATTAAGTCCCTGTTCTTAACTTCTAGACTGTTTCAACTATCAGGCAGATTTACTCCTCAGGCTATGACGACAGCTATTTATTTAGATTCCTTCAGCAAGAGATAGAGTACGTTTTATGCAAAAGTAAACATAAAGACAAAGGAGGTCTTTCCTAACAGATAAAAGAGAGCACAGGACAAGAGGGACGGAGTCAAAAATAGAAATGTCAATTGGTCAAAGGTTCAATTGAAAAGAAAGAAGTTACCCCAAGGACCAAGGTTGCGACCATCACAGTGCATACGTTGCCATCAACATTCACTTTATGACGCCTTACTTTCTCAAGCAGTTCTTGCATGCATTCAGCTGGATGGACTAGATCACCCTCAGGAGTACCCCAAAAAGTGAATGATTCTTCTACTTCCTGTTGAATCAAAGCATAGTAAGAAGAAGAAGATAAGAAAACATTTTCCTAGCTCCTCACTGTCCTAGTTTAAATTATTCCCACCAAGGAAGTTACATCTATATACATCACCTCAATAAAAGCCTTTGGGTTTGGGCAGTTCTGTCGTTGCGATAATCTGAGTGTGCACTCTGCAGCAGTGCGACCATCTCTACGGGCAACAGCCTTGAAAAATTCCATATATTACACGCCATCACTCTCAGCACAAGTTCAGCGGTTCATGCCCTACATCAAGGAAAATGACTTGAGGCTTTGATTTAAAGAGCCCTTTTCGAGAAGCCTCACTTGGAGACACCAGGACAAGGATATTTCCAGGATGCAAGTCACCATGAATGAAGTTATCCTGAAAGAAGAAAATTATAAGCTCATGGAAACCGGAATGGTATCATACTTTTCTCTCTCAAACAGATGAGGTGATGGGAAACAGGGATCAAGCATCATTAGGTGGATATCACATAACAATGTTACCATAAGCGAACCAATTAAAAATAGTTACCTCAATCATCTTCAAAAATGCATCAACTCCAATATGAGCAAGTGCAGTCTTAATCCTGTCATGTCCTTCAGGTCCATCAACATAATGTGCGACACTTTCCCCTGGCTCATAAGTTTCCACTAAAACAGCAGGATGCACAAGTGGATATACAGGCTTAGGAAAAGAAACATTCTTCCGGCTTCGAAAATTATATACAAATCGGTTCAAATGGGTAGCTTCCCTTGCAAGATCAACTTGAGACATCATGAAAACAGCAAACTGCTGGACACTCTCATCTAATCTCAACCAGTTCAGAGTTGGAATGAACTTTAATATCTTTGCCACCAAGTTGATAATCATAAAATCTCTCCTAATTGATTCACCGACACCAGGATGTCTAACCTTTACTGCAACTACCATGGGCTTGATCCGCTGACCAGGATAGCGGAAAATCAAAGAAGCCCGGTGCACCTGAGCTATACTTCCAGATGCCACAGGCTCCTCTTCAAAATCCTCGAAAATTTCAGAAAGTTTGCGGCCAAATGCTCTTTCAATAGTTTTCTTAGTGTAGGCAAAGCTATGTTCAGGAGCTTTGCTGTGAAGCTCTGAAAGCTTGGTGCATAGATCTCTGGGGAAGAGATCTGGTCGTGTTGCTGCCCACTGACCCCATTTGATGAATGCCGGACCTGCCTTTTCAATTGTGCGATGCACAACCTCAAGCCACATTTTCTTGACTCGTGGACCACAAGAGTCGATAAATGGTGCCATTATTATGCTAGGAGAGAACAAAACTGCAAGATAGAGAGACCTCAGCAGCAAGATAACACCTTCTACTAATGAAAGTAGTATAGAGGAAACAAAAGCATGCCCTTCTTGTGCACGCATATACAAAGAATTCTGTGATGGGTAGTAGTCTGTCTCTAATAAAGTCCCCTGTGCCAACGCCACTCGTCCACATGTCAAGCCAAATACAGCAGGAACTATCAGGTGTGAGCGGGACAATGCTAAACTGACTGCTTGAGCAATCCTGCCTATGTTAGGCAAAGTACGACCACCGGCATAACATCTTCGGGTAAGCCTTTTCCAAGCAACTTGGGCGCAATGAGTTACTGCACTACTTGCACAGAGGAAGGACTGGTTCCTGACAAAATAACTTTGACACAATCCTTTGTTGGTAGTCGACCTACAGCAAGAGTACACACTATATTGCGGCGAACGCAACCCAAAAGTAACAACTGCTCCATACTTCCTAAAACTTGAATGGCTCCTCGACTGGTTTGAAATAGCAGATTGTGAACCTTTCTTAATCTTTGCAAATGTCAAAAGTCTGCATGCCAACAATTTCTCTCGTCATTTACCATGTAAACTCTATAAACCTTAGAAGCAAATTCTAAATTCTTAATTATTAAGAACCCAATTGCCAATTTCGCAAAACGTGAGGAAAGAATACTTTCATTCTTTATTTTATTAAACTCGATTGTTGGAAAAAATATTTTTCAAAAAATTCAAATATTTAACATATAATTCATTGGGCAATCACTAAATTAACGAAATCATTACATTATGTTACAACAGAAGAATAAACCTTCTTCGGTACAAATCAATTTCACTTTTTTTTTTAAAAACGACAACCAAAAAAAACTTTAAAAGCCTTAAACCCAAACTCCTGGATAACGTAATCCTAAAACAACCGGACCCAGAAAAAGGTAACCCCAGCTAAAGAAAACCCAGAAAATATTTTTAATGAAAAAGCAGAAAATTTTTTTTGAAAAGGGTAAAGAGATCAACCTAGACATGTCGATATGAAGTGAGGGATATAAAAGGGAGCTCGGAGAGGCTAACGCGTGAACGCGGTGATGAATAGAAGAAAAGTTCTTGAAGGCAATTTCTTATTGATGAATCTTTTTTTGATTAACAATCAGAATCCGGGTGTGTGTTTTTATAGTTCGTTTTGGTAAAACCTACCCGCACAAGGGGAAGGAGAAGAAGAGAAACAGACCCACCCCCGACTTGGTATTTTATTTTAATAAACGGTAAAAAAATAATAAATTTTATTTAGACCTCTTTTCTCAATTAATATATTTTATAAATAATTTTTATTACTAGCAAAACTTCGAGATGTTAATTTTGACAGTAAAATACAAAAATATATTTAAATATAAACAAATAAATTAACTTTAAATAGAGAGTTTTTAATATTTTTATTAAACAAAAATTAACAATCCAATTTTACGTAAGAACAGAATTTATCCTTAGTATATTAATTACAAAAATATTTAAAATTCTCCAAAGAAACTCCAAAAATTTTGGAAAGATAAAGAACATCTGGAATCTATATTTTGTTGGTTTGTTAAAAATCTAAAAGTTGTGATCTCATTGACTTGTTTCACCTCATTAGTTAAAAGTTTGCCTTACATAAAAATATTATCCAACACACATACAAATAGAAATAATCAATTATGAATAATTCAATTAATTTGGGTCGATTTTTTTGATGTTGATATAAATAGATTAAAATGTATAATCTATTCCAACCAAAATTAATGAAAATTACGTACACATCAGAATCAGTTGTTTACCAACAAAGACCCATCTCCATAACCATGCATAGCCATATCAAACCTATTACGTATTTGTTTTGTGAATGTATCACAAAATCTACTGAATATTATATGTTGCACTATCTGCTAGCGCTTCTTCACTGCTGGCTCCTTCCGTGAGTTGACATACACTGCAGCAACTGGAAACCCCAGGCTGTTTTGAGCAGCGAATTGGCGAGTACTAAAGTTGGCTCGGCCATCTGGGAGTTGACACCCTCCCTCCTGCTTAAACAGTACCAAAATATACCTGTGAATTCCTGCCATAAGGAGATGATTGCTTTTTGCATGTTAAAATGAGAAGCAGCCATGAGACTGCCTGCCCAGGCACCTTCATATAAAAAGGACTCATGTTAAAAGACCCTCCATTGACTCTTGTTAAAGGAACCTCCATTTAGAAATTTTATGAAAATGCGTTCAAAGGCCTCTTGTTATGAAACATGGTCATTTTTCATTTTTGATTTCACCCATAACTTGGTTTCTAATTTCCTAAAATCTGTTCCAATTGATGGTAGTTTGATTGAGCTCTACAGAATGTTCTCTTTCTTTTCATATTTTCTCCAGAGTCCAGGAAACCATTGATCTCTGCAGCACTTGCATTTTATGCCGACTGGCCAGGAATCTTTACTATTCACAGCTAGCTACTGCCATGAAAGAATCTTAAAAACTTGTAAATTTTAACTATTGAGTTTCGCCTTCCAGGTTTATTCTGCATGGAACGTAAATCATCAAGGGGGGCTGTCAGTGTGCTGCTCAAGGGATTGTGGAAGTTTAGAGCAATGCAGTATTAATTTAACACTTCTATGAGCAATTAATGAAATGAAAGTAGACCTATGAAATATTGCAGATGTGTAACACACAATGCAAATGTCAGGACGACACAATTCTCGTAAAGATCCCAAACCAAGAAGAATTTTTTATATTGGAATCGCAGCAGAAGTACCTTACTGAATTTGGAAAGCTAATCGCTGTTTCAAAATCTAACCTAACAATATCATATCTTCCTTGCTATTCGGTCTTCTTAACAAGTTTATAAGCTTCGTTTGACCAAAAGACAAAAGAAAGATGTTTCTCAGCTCACGAAAGAAGGGAAAAGAAAGTCAAAACTGGACTTGAAATGAATGGAGGGTAAGATATTATCCATCATGACTGAAATGACTGTTGCCATCACTACCCTGTCAGTTATCCTCGTCCCACTCCCAGCTAAAGGAGATAGAAATCCCTCCCTCATTCTTCCATTTAAAGGAGATAGAGAAACCAGGTACGCTGCCATAATACTCGTTCTCTACTGCAGCAGCGTAAATATCATATGGATGATACAGTAGCACCTTGGAAACACTATAAACAGCACTTGCAAGTATTACTGATCCAGCACCCTTATAAAAGGACTTAACACCCTCAGTTTTGAAAATTTGCGCAAATGCATTCCGTGAACTCTTATATTTGACAGCTTCTCCTGAGGTCATCATCATCCTTCTACTTACTGTATCCAATGGGTGACAAACCAGCTTGCCAGTAAGATCAAACGCACAGTTTACAATACCTCTGCCCAAATAACTATTCTGCAAAAAACAAGCATTTCTTAACTGTATCATTTATCAGATTATTCGCGTAACCATAAACCAGATAAGCTCTGGGAAAAGTCATCTTTGACAAAAAGATTCAAAGACCGCATCCAGCATCTTTCGGGGAGATGACATTGATAAAGGATAGCAAAAAATAATGATGGTGCAGAGAGAAGAATACATGCTGGAATGAAACTGCAGTTTAATCACATAAAAGACAAAAATCTCACTGACCCGCGCTTGGAAATACAAAAAGTGTCGCCATGGCGTTAAAGGAGGGGATAGCACTGTCACCACACCAAGCTGAGCAAGTGCCATAGTATATCCACGGAACAATCCAGGAATGCCATCTACTTTCAGAGTTTTTCTATACACATCAAGTATACCATTAAACTGCCATTTGCTCAAGGAACCGGTAGTTTTGACATCATTTGCCATGCGTGTTCCAGCATAAAGAAATGGATAAACAAGAAACTGATTTACAACTGAAGAAAGAACAGCAGCCGATTTCATCTGAAAAGTACTCCACCGGCTTTCTTGACTCGCTATGTATTCATCGAATTTAACCTGTAGGACCTGTAGCACATAAAGGCGTAAGATGTTACAAAATTCTAAATCATGAGAATAGGACAGCTTCCTATAGGACAACTTCGGTGGAAGTTACCTTGGCTAAAATATGTGTCGTGGCCCTTGGAACGTTGCCTCTCCAAAGGGAAAAGATACCTTCATTTCTGATTGTTCTGGCATAGCAGTCAAATATTCCATTATATGGTTTGATCAGCCGACCTGACTTGATCATCTCGTTCTGGTTTTGCATCAAGAGCTTCACTCGTTCAAATGGAGCAACTGCTGTCCTGATAATACCTCTTGTAGCCAACCCAAACAGAAAAGGATCTTTCTCCCATAGGGCACTTACAAAAGTATGTGTCAAGGGTGTTACAAAACATGAAGATATCCTGTTCACCAAGGCACCACCCCCATGAATCTCTTGCATCCTTGGAGTGTAATTCAAATGTCTGACTGAGAGGTCAGGTTGCCAATGTATCTTTTGAGGTACAGGTGGATGCATTGGCCCATGTTCCATTCTGCAATTCGCTCTTTTCGCCTGCAAAGAAATAAACCATACGGGTAAGATTTTCTTATTTAGTTTAAGAACCCGATGAAGCACATTCATAAAGAAGACAAAGTGTGAGGAGTGTGATGCAAAAAATATATATATAAGCCTCAAAAAGTTTATGGACAAGTTCATGTGTCATGTGTATAAAAAACTTGGAAAAAAGAACATGAAGCTCAATAGCATATTAGTCTCCTATAGAAAGAAAACACCAAACGTAATAAAAATGAAGGTTTCTGAATATCATCTGCACAGCAAACTATCCAAACCGAGACTGAGGAAAAAGAAAAATCAAGATTTGCCCAACAACCTGTAACGAATTGAACCATTCTGGATCAACGTGATTAGAGCCAATTAAGATTACTAATATTCTCCTACAATTCACCGTGTTAGCATACTAAAACTACTTCTGCTTGGCCAGGTGTTAGGTTTCTATTTAGCTATCTAGCAAAGCAAGAAAAGAACAGAAACGGTTTGTGGCTTACGTAAATGACCAAGAACCGAAGAAAACACTCACCAGAAACTAAAGAAAAGAAGAAAAACCAATAAAATTCATGTCGAGAATCATGAATGGCATTACACAACATTTCTTTTCACACCCAAGAAGGAGAATTTCACGTCCAACCCTAGAAACGAATGTTTCGAAACCAGCGATAAGTTCTCACAGAAGATTCAAGTTCACTAATCGAGTAAAGTTCACTAATCAAACGATAAGTTCTGTTTGATTCTTGGAGAAAAGGAGAACAATACTTAGAAGAAGAAATGTATGTGCCCCATGTTTTAGATTACTAACATCCATTCAACGAGAACCAAAGAAAAGTCAAAAGAGAGGGATAACGAGAAGAGAAACCAATATGAAGAAAGATACTACCAGTTATCACAGAAGAAGTTGCGCTAGAAAAGCCAAAGAAAGAGGAGAAAATAGCCAGTTTTCCATCTCAAGCAAAAAGCTCTGTTGCGGTTGTTGTTGGAAGGAGAAAGGAGATGATTACTTTTTCCTGGTTAAAATGAGAAGCAGCTATGAGACGTACCGTTATATATAAGGTCACCCGAGGCACGTTCAACGAATTAGCATTTAGTTACAGTAATTAAAAGAAACATCTTTTACACTACCCTGTACAAGAAATAGTGGTTCCAATGTAGTGTAATACCCTGTATAGGACCCCTTCACTAGCTACTAAGACTCTTCTTGCTTCTTACTAGTTGCTTTCTTTAACCAAAAACGTACAAAAGAGGTGAGTAGAAACGAGCATAGAAGTATATACTACCCAGTTTTCCATTTGAAGCATTAGCTTAGTTGCGCTGGTTGCAGTATAAGAAAGAAAGGAAATACATATACTGCATGTTGAAATGAATGCGAGCTATAAAACAAATGGCTCGTCGTGCTATTCATTTACAATTGTGCTATTAAAATGAAAAATAACAGGTTTCGAGGCAATTTGATTCTTAATTTTTAGCCAACCTCTGGTACATGGAGGTCACGGTAAATGGTATTCATATAAACGGGCTTGCAGTCTTAACAGGTTTATGTAGGTAGTTTGGATCTGTACTTTATTGACATGGTTCAATTCACAAAACTTCCTAAAATCTGTGCCCAATGGGCCTAAGATTAGTGACGATGGCGACTCGGTATTTTTGATATTTTGATTGGGTCTCGTGGGCTTCAGGCAACTTGGCCTTGCTTCTCTCTGGCCTGCTTAATAAAGAGTGAAGAAATGATAAATGCCATTTACACCTCTTTTAGTTTTAATTTTTCTCATAGAACATCTCATAATTTCCTTTTTTTTTTCAATTTATACCTTCTAATTTCTTTTTCTCAATTAATATTTTGTAAATAAATTTTATTACTTGCAAAAGCTCAAGATGTTAATTTTGACAGTAAAGTACAATAATATATTTAAATATAAACAAACAAGTTAACTTAAAATTGAGAATTTTTAATATTTTTATTAAATAAAATTAACAATCTAATTTTACGTAAGAACAGAATTTATCCTTGGTATATTAATCAGGAAAAAAATAAATATTTAAGATTCTCGGAAACAAAAAGTTGAAAAAGTCAAAGAACCTCCAAAAATTTTAGAAAGATCAAAAACATCTTGAACTTATGTTGGTTTGTTAATTCTGTTAAAAAACTAAAAAAGTCAAATGTTTTGTTGACTAACTTGAGTTAAGGATTTGATATAGACGTGCATCCTCCTTCTAATTAATCAAAACTTAAAAGTCTTGTTCTCATCCGAGTTTAAACTCAACTTGTTGCAACTCATTGGTTGAGGTTTGTATTACGTAGAAATACTTTCCAACACACATACAAATCGAAATAATCAATTATTTATAATTCAGTTAATTCGAATCAATTTTTTTATATCGAGATTAATCAATTAAAACGTGTAATCTATTCAAACCAAAATTAATGAAAATTACGTACAGATCAAAATCCGTTGTTTATCAACAACGACCCATCCCCATAACCATATCAAACCTATTATGAACGTATCACAAAATCTACTGAATATTAAATGTTGCACTTGAAGTATCTGCTAGCGTTTCTTCACTGCTGGTTCCTTCTGTGAGTTGAAATACACTGCAGCAACTGGAAGCCCCAGGCTGTTTTGAGCAGCGAATTGGCGAGTACTAAAGTTGGCTCGGCCATCTGGGAGTTGACACCCTCCCTCCGTTGCTCGCTCCTGCTTAAACAGTACCAAAACATACCTGTGAATTCCTGTAGGTGGCTGGGGTCCCATGTAAGGCACCATCTCTCTTCCTGAAATCCCAATATCACAATATTGTATCATGTAAAGTAACTTGAAAATCTATGTTCTCGTCTTCTATGATTAAGAGTAGTGTTTTGGAGATGAAAGAGTAGAATGGAAAAGCTATACCTTCGGTAGCTTCATGTCCCTCAGGAATATCTACAACAATCCTGCAACAGAAACATTACTTGAACCAAATTTTTATAGTGACATTTCATTCTTTACACAGTATACTAGCAGAGATAAGCATGATAATGGAATTACCAGTGCAGCCACTCCCTTAATCTGGGTTCACTTGGACTTGGGGCGTCAGGATCAACCATAACCTGCATATATTGCTACACTATTGAATCACTGTCACAGAGTTAAAGAGTGAGAAAGGAAAATTTATTGGAAGAATTGCATACGAGAGTGTATAAACTGGAAGAGACGAGAGGGCCAAGGATTCGGACATGAGGTTTATCAGCAGCAGAAGATGGCTTGATATCACAGCCATTGTGGACCTGCTTGGCGCCATAATGGACAGTAAGCTCCGCGGCAGGAGTGAACATGTCGAGCACATCTCCGATCACTCTGCCCACAACCAGTGGCTCCACGGACCTAGCCATATGGTGTCTCGATCGGACTAGACCCTTATTCTATCTTTGATGGATTAATCTAATTTATAGTTTTGGATTTTTCCTTTCGTTCTAATCTTTTTTGCTCTTGTTGGCATTGGGTGATGGAAATGACGAAGTGGGCCTGGGATTTGTTTAGGATCGACACGTTGAGGGGACAACTTTGCGTGACTCAACACGTTGCCTTGTCCACAAATGAAAGTGCCCATTAGACACGTGTTGGTCGTCTGGGCATGTGTCGGTCATTGGCCGGCGGCCGTAATCTCCAATAGACTGAAATATCCTCAACATCTTCATCTATCTTTATCTTGGTTTGTTATTGCAACATTTGTTCTTGTTTTTGCTTGCTGGTTATCTAAAAGGGTGAGGATAGACATTCCATATTCACCAAACCTGGAAGCTTTTGCGTTGAAAACCATCAACAAGACTTTGGAAGTGAGCGACTACCAGCTGCAATCAAATTGCTCCGATCCCACTCAAGGAAAGTGGGAATTCATGTTCTTTGACTGGCTTTTCTTAATATGCAGTCTCTCTTAAGAATAATTACACGAAAGCAACTAAGAATCAACACCAATCAACCATATATTTTAATCGTACAACAAAATTTGGTTGCACAATCAGATGCCATTGTTGGTCTAGTCAAATGGGAAATTGAGAAAGATTATGTTATGGAGCATTATTCAATCATTATTGGACGATTCCAGTTGCTTCATGGTGCGATCTCTGGGTTATTCTTGGGCCTCTCGGAAAAAAAAGAAATCTGGGGCCATTCTGTAATGGTTTGTGAGATGAACATTTGGGGTTTTGGGCTAACAGTTTCTGCTTGGATCAAGTGTCATCCGAGTGCAAAAGCCTGCAAAGGTTTGACATGGGCATGACTCCATTGCCCAATTGCAGAAGGCTCAACCATATTTGTAGTTGATCCCATCAATCTTGCCCTGGAGATAGGCCTATTAGGACCAAAATTTTCTCTTTCTGCACCAATAGTCTACGATTGGTGTTAGTCAGGATCCATAGCTAGCACAGGGAACCTTTTCTGATATTATCGGATTATCAGTATTAAGAAAAACCCATACCGAACGGGCTACTGATAACTACATCTTGTTGTTATATAAAACCTGTTCGACTGTGCACCATGAAGATTACAACCAGATAATCACAAGTCACAAACCAATTGAATTCAGAAAACAAGGACAGGAAGGAAAGAACAAACATACAAAAGCTTAGCTTAACGTGTTTGACATATGGTTGGTAACTGTGGGGTGGCTTCTCCAATACATGTTGAAAAAAATTGCTGCCTCGGTATAATTTTGGATCAAGCCAGGGAGCTAAGGTTAAACTCTGAAGTCTGCCATCGTTTCTGATTTTCACCTTCAGTCAAGTGATTAACTTTGGTTATTGGGGGATTCAATCATTCAACAGCTATCCAACACGTATTAGGTAGTAAGGAAGGTATTGATTGCATTTCAAAGCAGGAATCAATTCTAATGGCAATCTGGCACCAATTAGCAAAAACAAACCATAACAAGGCCGGTGAAGTTGATTTCATGAACAATTGTCCCTAGCAAAAACAAACCATACCAAGGCCACTGCTGGTTTTTGCCCATTTGCCGATTTAGACTCTCTAGCTGGCTAGAGCTAGCCAGAACCTTATCGATAAAGGGCATGATTAATCATTTTCAAACCAGAGAA